TGAATTCGATAACTTTGCTTACGAACATCCGTATTAGATGCACCTGTGGCTTTGTCAGGCACAATCCCTCTGGTGCCTGGCATTTTGTCTGGCACAGATTTGTCTTTTTATTGATATTATTAATACATGTCTGGTACAAAGTATAGAATATCAGGAACTAGTTCAGTAGTCTGACATTTTGTCAGCTACAACTAAAACCGTTATTTCCAGGCGTGTCTGACACATTTTGCCAGATACAACTAAAACTGTCATTTCCAGGCCTGTCCGACACATTTTGTCGGCTACAAATTTAACCATTATCTATCACATTTTGACGGCTACAAACAAAACCAATATTTCCAGGCCTGAATCGTAATCATCGAGATTTAACAACAACAAAAAATATATGTATGAAATATTTTTAATTTATTTCAGCTGTTATGAAATAACATAATAATATGAACATATAGTTGATAATATATTATATATTACCATACAGTTAACATTATGCCATCATAACTGTAACCTTCATTTTAACTGACTTATTTTATATCAAATAAAACCTAACTATATCCTTTATGGGTTTTTTTTTTAGAATAAAACATGAGAGAACTGAAAAATTACAATTTTTTACCATTTTTAGAAAAAAATGTATAATAAAATTAAACAAAATTAGATTTCAATTTTTGAATGGTCTTTACAAAGTAGGGATTATGGGTTTTAAGTTTTATAATTTCTTAGAGATTAACCTAATCTTTTAATCATCTTTATTTCATGTTATAGATTGAAGATTTATGATATGTGATCTATTGATTTTTGGCTTATCTGTTCTAAACTATCTAATAACAAGTCATTTCAAGTTAATAGTTTTGGAAGCTCATAATTCAAATAGAAAAAAAATTAATATAATCTAGCTATCGTCAACATATACTACTACAATATGAACACTAAATAAAATATTAATATATTAACAAACGATCAGATGTGATATATGGCCTAACACATCTTTAACAAGTTGAGTTAAATTCATTAAAGGCCTTTACTATAATTCTATCAACAGTAATTTCAGCTTTTACAAAACGCCTTGCCATCATTTGTAAATTATATTGAAACTGAATGCAAAGAAAGACATTTGATGTTTTGCGGGTTTTGTAAAACAAAAATATAATTATTTATCTAAACATAGCCATGCCAGACAATGATACCCACCAGCAGTTTTAAAGCTTTGAGGGTCAGGAACAAAAACTACACATAAAATCCAAGCAATATTACAATGTTTTGGTAAAAGGGGCAGTAATTTTCAATAAGGTTTCAACTCAGGATTAGCCGTATAATCAAAGCAAATCTGAAAAACAAATCTCAAAATTTCTGATCTGTTGAGTGTCCACAATGTTTTGGAGACAGGACTCTCCTAAATATTTTTATGTGGGTTCCTAGAACAATCCTAGCAAATTTCTTTTTAAAACGCTTGTCTGTAGCATGGTTACAATGGACAACTACTCCTTGAAAATGTAGCATGAGAGAATCTCAGATGGTTTCCTCCTACTAAGTAGCCAAACAATCATAGCAAATTAATCCAAAAACTATGACTTGAAGAGTGCTCAAGAATTGTCGATGGACAGACAGACATGAGAGGTGACAACAATATACAGTCACATAAAATGCGAGCGCATGAAAAAGCTACACATCCAGTCCACTTTCAAAGAAACACATAAAATCCCTAACCCTGATTTTTAAAAAAATTATTTTATAAACATATCACAAAATATTATATAAGATCTAAGGAATGGGAGGAAATATTGTTAAACAGTTTTTATTTGATTCAATGCATTTTATTTTCTTTCTTATATTATTATTAATATACATATTAATATATTCTATTTACATTTAATGTACAAAATCTATTTTATAATTCTAAAAAAAAAAAGGAAATAAATTGCGTACAATCAGTGTTAACCTTCCCCAAGATCAAATCAAACAAAACAAAAACAAAACTTTGAAAGTGAAAAAAAGGCAAATAGGCAAAAAAACAAAACAGATTGTCATGGAATGAAGAATTGACTAAAATGCTATCATCATTATACATGTATTAACTGCTTGATAAATTGTTTTTGTTTTAAAAATACAGCACTTTTTCTCAATAAATTCTAACTGTTAAAATCATATCAAATAAATTAAAATTGAAAAGTTTTTTTTTGATTTTTAAATATACAGCACTTTTGTCAATAAATTTTAACCGTTTGAAAATATCATATACATGTAAATCAAAGATCAAAAGTTTTTTTGATTTTCATTAAACATTGTTTTTAAATATACAACATTTTTCTCAAAAAATTAGAACCTTTAAAAAATATCAAATAACTCAACAGTTTTTTTTCTTTTTTGATATTCAATAAACATTTTGTAAATAAATTTATTGAGAGATTAGTCTTTCTTCTATTCTATATAATAAAATCATATTATTTGTATTTTTTTAAAATACAATTATACAACATTAAATAACAATAGAAAACGTCTTTATAACAATTCTTATATATATCGTAACTCTTTAAATGTTCACACAGTGAAAGGCAGGAACAAATTAATGATTGAGAGGGACTCAAAACCTTCCCTGACAAATTGTTACTATTGATCCTTTGAGGGGTCCCAACAAAACTTACCCAAAGAACCCCTTCTGAACCCATCCTACACCACTATTCTAGCAATTGAATAAATCACACTCGGCAACAAACACACATTTATTCATTCAAAAAGGACAAACAATTGATCATCAAAATATACCACATCAATGGTTGATAAATCAGTAAAATCAGATAACTACTATGACCCAATAAACATATTTGCTTGAATCAATTGCATAAAAAAATGATGTATTTTATTAAAAAACAACATTTATGAAACTGACATCTTTTAAGTACTTTCTCACAAGGAATTATGAACACATGATTAAGGGAATTAATCGCATTTGCCTTTACAGTTACCTTTGAATTTTCTTAAAACCAAGTTATGATTAGAAAGGCTATATAGGCATTGTTAATTTTACGTAGCATCCATTTTGCAAATGTTACAATTTGGTTCATGGGTTAGGTCATGTGATAAGATTTAATAATAGCTCCAAACCAAAATTTGCTCCATACAGCTATGACACAAGGCAGGGTATGGTGATACTACTTCTCATCTGATCATTAAGTTCTCGTAACTAACAATTTGTGCTTTATTTCTGTACTAGAAGTTGAACTCTGACCTGGAAACATCTACGCAAATTAATTAATATTTTAATATATTTTGAAACCATTTTGTTATATGATGTGCATTATAAAAACAAGTTTACCCATTTAAAATTACTCTATCTTAATGATAGACAAAATAAAGTTTTTGATTTGAAGATCTCTTTTCATTTATAAGTTTTTTGGTATACATGTAATTAGAAATATTCTAAATGGACATGAGTGTTTACAGTATAAAAATAGTGGCCAAGTACTTCAAACTATATGTAGTTAAGAAGTTTAATACATATATTTCATAAAACATTATCTTAAATATATATCAAACTTTATTTACAATATTACATGACTAGTTTCCCTCAAATATTGGACAAGTTGGGTACGTAATATAGAGCATATTAAATAATTATATAAAATGAATTTGGAAATCAAAAAGAATACATAGAAAATGTAATATAGATATCCAAACGCTAGCCTTTTTACACCAAGAAAGGAATGCTTTTTAATTGAGTCCATATTAGGGAGGTTTCACATTGCTCAAATTATGACGCAAGTTTTACAGCGCAGTATGTAAATACAAGAATAATAATATTTCTTTTGAAATGAATAGCCATCTGTTTTTAATCAATATAAAACCTCCCTGATAAAACTTCCAAGGTACTTCTAATAAACAGTTTATAAAATAAAATTTTGATTTTGAAATTATTTTGAATTCCATGATAATAGATTTAAATGAAAATGAAAAAAAACAATAAAAGAATAAAACTACTAAATGAATACACATATGAGCTAAAAGGTTGTATATTAACTTTAGATATTAAGTCATTAATGTACGCTAGTGCTAATATATTGGACATGTTTTAATGTAGATGTTTATATACTAGTATAGATGTATAAGAAAATAAATATTATGATATACATACATGTTCTTAAATATTTATTTCTATCAAAAGTCTTTTTTTATATCAACTACTGTATATAATTAAGTATATACATATAACCTTGAAATTCAGGCAATATTCATAGATTTAGAGCCTAATTTCAACCACGAGTATGTCTAATAAACCAAAATGAAATCTTAACATCTATGATGCTGGCAGTGTATTGCTCAATATAACCTTGTGACCTATTCTTAAATTTATACAATAAACTAATATTTAAAGGACAATATTGGTGTCAGTCATTATCACATATGTGATAGAAATCGCTAAACACATTCCAAATATAATTTTAATACAGAGATAGATGAGTAATGAAGGTTTCTACAAAAGGAAGAGACGAACACAAAAGGCAAACATAAGTTATTCTTCTATATAACTGATTGAAATGACGAGTGATAGCTGTTACACAGGGCAAATTTCTGCTCACTATCAATTCCTTCGAAGACCAGAAGTTGTTATGTGAGACTGAGAGAGAATATCTGACAATTCAAAACAGTAACTGAATGTCACTAGATAAGAGAACACGAGACAAATATAAATAGTCTGTACATTCACTTGTTTTTATTCATTCTATACTTAATCAAAACATGGTAATGCACAGACTTTTTCTATATTCTTTCATTTCCTCTTTTCTAGTGACAGTCAATTTCTGTTTTGAATTGTCAGATATCCTCACACAGTCTCATATAACAACTTTTGATCTTCGAAGAAATTATTAGTGAGCAGAAATTCGTCTGTGTAACTATTATCAATCGTCACTTCAGTCAGTTATATAGAAGGATAAATCGTGTTTTCCTTTTGTGTTTGTCACTTCCTTTTGTAGAAGCCTTCATTACTCATCTATCGTAACAATGACCTCTGTGTTAAAATTATATTTGGAACGTGTTAAACCAGTTCTATCACATATGTGATAATGACTGACACCAATATTGTCCATTAAACCACTGTCAAATTGTTGGATATAGTAAAAGTCAGATGACAATATGATGCCTGTCTGAGGCACTTTATGAGTCTGGATCATGATAATAATTCAGAATTTTTAAACGAATGCAACAAATTATCACACTTGAGTATGTAAAAATAATAGAATTACTTATAAAAACTATGATAACGTGTAAAATGTAGCTTTACTATAACCATACTTAAAAGACAAATAGATAATGAATTAATACCTGATAAAATGACTGGCATAACAGGCATTGTACCTGACAAAGCCTGTGTTTTTACTTGACAATGGCTGTAGCCGGTGCCTTAATTAAAAGACTGTAGATAACATCTCTAATGGCTGTAATTGTTATGTTCAGAAAAGTTGAGGCAATGATAAACAAATGTTCATCATGGCAATAGATTCATCTGTTCTGTGACATTTGCAACAAAAATAGAATTCTTTACATTTTCATAAGGTTCATCAAACCAGACCATCATTTGAAGTAATCCATGCTTGCTCTTGTTTTCTCATATGGGATAAAACAGTCATAACTGTAATCCTTATAGCAGTTGGTATAAATTAAATGTATGGTCATTATCTCTGCATCAATTCATGATTTAACACAATATATATCTTCTTCATCACACCATTACGGCATTAGTCTGTATGTGTCTTTATCAGTTCACTTGGCGACATCTGTGATTTGTTAATTAATATTAAGTACGTAATCATACCAGGATGGAGTATAGAATATTATCAGCATAATTATCAGTTCACTTGGCGACATCTGTGATTTGTTAATTAATATTAAGTACGTAATCATACCAGGATGGAGTATAGAATATTATCAGCATAATTATCAGTTCACTTGGCGACATCTGTGATTTGTTAATTAATATTAAGTACGTAATCATACCAGGCTGGAGAATAGAATATTATCAGCATAATTATCAGTTCACTTGGCGACATCTGTGATTTGTTAATTAATATTAAGTACGTAATCATACCAGGATGGAGTATAGAATATTATCAGCATAATTATCAGTTCACTTGGCGACATCTGTGATTTGTTAATTAATATTAAGTACATAATCATACCAGGCTGGAGTATAGAATATTATCAGCATATAACTTTCACGATCTTGCAAGATGAAACTATTTACCGGTAGTTGTACTGTAGCTCGAACTTTTTAATTTGAATCTTCAAAAATGCTAAGAAATCTTCATCAAAGAAAGATACCAAAAACGCAAAAATTGACTATCAAGGATAACTGGATGACAATTGTGGGACTTTTGATATGAGTTTTGTATTTTTGGGATGTATATAAGACAAGTCAGTGTTGTATAAGAAATAGACATATATAGAATTTAATAACACAGAAATCTGTATTGCTATCCTCTTCACTAGTCTAATCACTGTTTAAAAGTAACTAGTCAGTATAGAAATACAGACAATAAGAAATCGAAAACACTAAAAGTCAAAAATAGAGTCATAGTAAAGCTACATATAACCACAATAACAGTACAATACAAAACATCATCATATCTTTGACAACTGAACCATTTTGGTAAAAAAAAATCTGCAACTTTTTACATACACCCTCCTCAAAGATCATTGCATGTTTTTAAATCTGGTTTAATTGTTATAAATATCATGATGTTCTATTGAAAGATACCAGAGCCCCGAGTTCACAAAGCATTCTCAGACTTAAGTTAAGAATTACATTCAACTTTCAATCACTGTTTATGAGAAATATCTTTGACCCAGAAACACAAACCTTTGCACATAGTTTCTTATTGATGTATTTGATACATTAAAACAACAAAAGTTTTATAAAGAGCTATATTTTGGTTAAAATAAGGTGAAGAATTTTGAGTAAATTTTTAAACATACATTATGCAAGAGCTAAATCTGATTATTGCAAGTCTTTATTTAGGCTTCAGATGTCATAGAAATTATAAATTAGATCTTTATTTACACAACAAGCACAAAATCAACTCTGTAGACCCATGGATGGCTTGGATTCGGCTTGGATTTAAACAGGATCTCGTTGATTGATTAAATTTTTAAATGGCGTCGTAAGCGGAGATTAACCGTTACGTTGACGTCATACTCCCGGAAATAATTTTAGATCGAGGCTAAATGATAGATTGTACGAAGCGAAACCGCTGTTGAGCGAGGCCGCATGTCAGTCAATTTGATTGAAAGTTCGATATACATGTATACGGCCTTGATATTATGTTTAGTTGTGGTTAAAATGAGAGTTTGGATGTCGGTATTATAGGCTACGCTCTTTTGTCACTTGCGTTTACAGAAAAAACTATAGAAATTGATAAACATCGCAGCTAACATCACCCCAGTTGAATTCCAGCTCCATTGGATCAATGTTCGGTAGTTACGCAGGCCTACCAGTTACAGTACAAGAGAACACGCAGGCTAACAAGAAGTCGGCTATAATTATGCCTCATTGATTTTGTCCATTCTTATCTATATATTAAAAGTCTTATTTTTAATTTTTAGTAAAAATAAATGTGATACGAATTGAATTGCAACCCCCTCTCAAACCACAGCCATTGAAAACGTTACTTGATAATCGAGATTATGTAGGCGGAGTTAACGCTTGTCAATCAAACGATGGTCTATTCTCGGAGACGGTGAAGAGAGAATTGACTCCCATTTCTAGTCAAAAATTACAATAGTGATAACTTTGTTCAGAATAAAGTAATTTGACTGAAATTTTCAATAAATTCTTCTTTCATCATCTATTTTTGAACTGTTATAGCAAGAATGGCCAACTCTCTATTAAAATCTCCCAGAATGTATCTTTAACTTAAGTCTGAGAATGCTTTGTGAACTCTAGGGCCTGCTGTTAAATACCACTTGTAAAAATAGCCATATAAACATATAAAAACTGTAGGTGCTGTAAGACATTCAAATTAAGAATAGGAAGATAAATCAAAGTCATGAGAGAGGTGTTTCAATTTCTAACATGATTTACAATATGAAAATCGTATAATTTGAAATTCTCATGATTAGCATATTTGCGTTCTGTGAGCAGAACTACTCAATTGAGATTCGGCTACAATTTGCTATTTGTAATGAGATAATAAATATGTCAGCCAAATAACCTCCTCGGGTCATATATTTAGAGGTATTTCTCACCAAATCAGCATTATAAAATCAGCCAATCAGGATGCCAATAATAAAGACCACCAACCACACTCAACAATGGAATAAAGTTAGACACAAATAGAAATATCCACTCTAACCAAAGAATGATTCTGACAGTACATGGAAATGGACCAATAGAATCAGCAGTTACATTGCTACATGGATAAAAAATACACAAGCACAGAACTAACGAAAGAACTGACATCAGTGGTGTGCATTATTTGTGTTGTGTCGATCATGCCTTTCATGCTTTTCACGACATCTGCTAAATTCATACTTCTCATTCACTCCTTTCTGCCCAATTTCTGTCCATTGTTTTAGATTTTTTTCTTTTCTATACATCTCCCATCTTTCATCGTCTGATTCATGGGTAAGGAACCGAATTCCCACATTAGTTTCAAGGACACGTAAATCACACCAACACTGATAGTCCTAAAAAATGAAAACAGAAAAATTATTTTATATATGTTAAAAAAAAAAATGAATTTGAGCTCATAGCATAACATAGTTATGGCCTTTAACATCTCGTTAACACAATATTATGCTCATCATTTTTTTGTATGGTCACGAGAGAAATTCTAGGGAAGAGAATATTGTGCACATGGTGGGCCTCGATTTTTGGTCCCTTCCAAATGACCAGGCAACACCAACAAATTGGGAATCAGGGACATTCTAGTAAAGAGTGCAGTGTCCCTTCCCAACAACCAGGCAACACTAACACATGGGAACCAGGAACATTCTAGTCAAGAGTGCAGTGTCCAATTCTAGGGAGGAGAATTCTGTGCAAATGGGCGGACCTCGTTTTTTGTCCCATCCAAATGACTAGGTTACACAAGTGGGAACCAGAAACATTCTAGTCAAGCGTGCAGTATCAAATTCTAGGAAGGAGAAATTTATGCACATGGGCGGAGCTTGAATTTTCATCCCATCCAAATGACTTGGTAACACCAACAAATTGGGAAGCAGAAACATTCTAGTGAAGATGCCAGAGTCCTTATCGCTCGATAATTTTATTTATATACCAGTACATTAGTAAAATTTACCTGTAAGAAAACATGTGAGAGAGATTTATCTACTGTAAAACGTTTTCTCATTTTCACTTGAAGTAGATTGGTTATCAAATCAATTCCTAGATAAGAAAAAAAAAATATATTTCAATCTAAATACAATTTTATACACATTTTCGATTTAATACCTCGGTAGCTATTTCAGCCTGAATTTTGACAAAGGAATCTCAATCATGAAATTCCTGTCATTTTTAAACTAAAATTATAATTAATTCATATAATTAACTAAAAATAAATTAAATTCTTATTATTGTTTAACCTAAAAATACATTAAATTCTTATTATTGATTCAACTGAAAATACATTAAATTCTAATTATATTTAAAAATATAAAAATTCCTGTTCAATTATATTTAATTAATATAATCCAACTAAAAATACTTTAAATCTTATTACTGATTAAACTAAAAATATATTAAATCCATATTATCGTTTAAACTAAAATAACATTATATTGCTATAACTGTTTTAAATTAAAAGTAATGGTGTATTTTTACCTTCCTGTGAGATTTCTTTCCAGGGATTAGGTGGATACATGAAGGCTGCATTCTGTATCTGATCACTGATCTCTTCATCTTCATTGAATGGAAATGTTCCACTTAAACTATAAAATATATTAAATAATTATAACAATTATTTATACCATGGTGTGCAATTCAGTAGAGAAAGAACTGGGGCCTGTTTCACGAAATTTTAACTAAGATAAAATCCAAATTTTAGTAATTTGATTGGATAATATTAGATTGATTTGAGTGCTTAGCCAATCAAAATTGAAGTATCTACTAAAATTTGGATTTTATCTTTAGTTAAGATTTCGAGAAACAGTAGTAGAAAATAGAAAAAAACAGTTTATCTTTTCAAATTGCTACTTCATTAACTATACCATTTGGTTTAGGCAACACAAATAAAATAACTTGTTTCTCGGGCACCGCCCGCACGCAAAATTGGTTGCGCGTGCAGTCTATTTATTAGTCTTGATGAAAAAAAATAAATATGTAACGCCCGCCCGCACATCGACAAGCAAGTCGTAAAAAAAATATCCCGCATGTACCTACATCCGCCATACATGTATATCTATTCAAATGTATTAAAACTGATTCAGATGAACATGCTGTCTTTTTTATCCGAACAATGGCGAAGTTTGGCAGATTTGCCTTTTTTTATTGATATCGAAAGAACCTCCATTTTGTATCACGTGATATTAATTACCTCCCCTGATAAACTAGAATTTGATTCGTGTTAAAAGTCATTGGCGACAATATTTCAATCATTCGATCGTAATCGGCTCATTATTGCCGGCTTCAGTCGGTCCTTGTTTGGAAAATCCGATTGATAAAATAATGAACCGTAGAACAGGTTAATTAATTATAGCTAAGAATACGATACGATGACGATAGTCGTCATAATGCATACCTTAGAATCTGGGTCATTATTAGCACATTTACGGTAGTTTCGATAATCCGGAAAATAATAATTGGATTACCGATTTGATGGTTTTACTGACCAGTTGTTAGTTAGATTTAAATAGTCATTCAATATAAACACCGGATAGAACACCGAATATCCTGAGAAACACACCGAATATCCCAAGAAACAGTATTTCCGGCAATCTCCAATACCGATGACACGGTGTGACATGCATTGGTTGGAATTCGGTAAATAATTATAAATAAACCGGCGATACTAGATTTAGTTTTAAATACTGTTTACCATGATTATTATTTTTGATACACCTGGTGAAAGAGGCTTAGTTTTTAAAAATATTGTTGTCTTTATGGAGGGCTATTACATAGTCGTATGGAATTTTATTTTAAACCAATTTCAATTATGTGAATTAAATATGGAAAATTATTTTCCTTTCAGTCAGTGTTCAGTCTCAGTGTTTTAGTAGACTTGATTTTGGGTTTATGTTTTAAGTATGTACAATAAAGTTGAATATAACGGAAAGCAAAAACGTAAACAAGTAATGACTTTCTCATTTAAAAAAAAAAAAAAAAGAAAGACCGCCCTCCCGCCCCAACAATTTTCAGCAATAGCCAAATTTTATTTTGCACCATCAATGAGTAAAAAAAAAAAGAAACCGCCCTCCCTCCCTACAGTTTCAGCTGTCAGTTGCCCGAGAAACAAGACATTTATTTTGTGTGGCCTTAGTAGGATTTGTATTTTTGTTTTGTTTTACATTTGTTGACTTGATGCACTGATGATGTTCTAGATTATGTTTTTTTCACTTGGTCGTCTATAATATTTTGTATAAAATAGGCTTGATAATCAAAAACTATCTATTTAAAATGGATCTGTATATATAACTGTAACTATCGTTTGTCTGGTGGTTAAATTAGAGCTGCCCCAAGGCTAAACTAGTGGTATAAGGGTGGCTTGAGTCGGGGAGTGACATTGGGTGGTGGTGTTGCACTATTATTTCCAGATATACTACTTTCACTTTCACAAAACACCTATAAAGAAGCGTTGGATTGCTCTACTAATGTAAACAGCTAGTATCTTATGAAATACAGCATTAAGAACATTTTTATTTTTAATGAGAGGAGATCAAGTGTTGTTGTTGTATATAGTCACTTCAACTCCGGTATCATGTAGTTGTACTGTTTTAGCAGGAGTTTCTGTATTATATGTTTATTTTCAAACCACAGTTTGAAAAATATTCAAATTCGCTGAGAATCATAGAAAACTATTGGGTTTCTACTGTTGCGTAGTTTAAAATGGTCATTCTTAGTTAGATATTGAGTGTTGGGTTTTACAACTGTTTAATTTTCCGAGCAGTGTTATAACCATCAATTGTTTTTGAGAGTGGGGCATCCTATTAACAGGCATATATTTCATTTAGACAATTCACATGTGTGCAGGATTCTGTACAAGTGAGAAAAAAACAGATTACCCTTGTCACATATAATAAATTTAATATGTTGAGGTGTCTTTCTTATACCATTAAATCTGTTTCTTAAACTTTGTTATTTTGATTAATCTTAATTAGTAAATATTTTTCTATCCTATATGGATGATATTATTCGAAGAATATATTTTAAAACAATCTTACCTTACATATATAACTACCCCAACAGACCACATATCTAACGATCTATTATACCCCTTTCTCTTTAAAACTTCTGGAGCTGAAAATATAGATCCACATCATTACTACGTTCTTATTATGACATTTACTGGGTACCATATTAACTGGTTTCCTATTATGCTGCACAGAAATACATCTAGGAGTAGGTCTACTATAAAAGTAACAAAGTCTAAGCTTCAGGTACTAATAAGATGACAACATCAAAGTTTATTGTATGTCTTTGCGTTTATAGTTCTGGAGACTGATACACGATAATATAAAATGGGTGACCTCCTTTACCATAAAAGCAGTCATAATTTAAGACCATGGCAAAAATCATTTCTTAATAGTATCAGTCTTCAGTGTCCATATTAGATTAAGATGCTTTTACACAGTCAACTGCTTAGTAATTCATGAGACAGTGTTTAATTTTTTGTTGGACTGAAGAATAATGTCTTACATATAGTGCTCCTATTAAAAAACATAATACTTACTATTAATCCATTAAATTGAATTTAGGCTTAAAATTATTGTTGATAAAAATAAACAGGAATTTAATTACAATCCTAATTCTTCCTACTCCGCTAAGATGATGAGAGTGTTAAAATCAATCAGTGAAATATAAAATAATAAGAATAAGATTCTATTGATATAGTCATTCTTTAGATTGTAAACTTACCAAGATAGGCTGGTGTACCAACTACAGAACGTCGAAATGACTTTTCTCCAATAATTCTTGCAAAACCAAAGTCACATAATTTTACCTGCATAGAAACAGATACAATTGAGCAAATTTTAGCGAATCTGTCATTTTTTCAGAAGTTGAAGGAACACCAGATTCATGGGCATAAAGTATTTGGTTTCCGTGTCATGAAAATCAAACAAAAAGACTAACATGTCGTCAATTCTTCAGGTTAATACAAGACTAACATATAGTTAATTTTATTATTATGGTCACATGTGCAATGCTGTGGAGGAGAATTTTGACCTGAAAAAGGCATTTACAAATTCAAACTGTCAAAAGTTCATTTACTTGCAGACTAATGCATACATGGGTGGACCACTGGATCTCGATCCATAACATTAGAGAGAGAGCGAGAGAGAAATGGGGTTTAACGTCCACTCGATACAAACTAGGTCATTTCGGAACTAACACATTCAATAATTTGCTTGCACGTTGGGGTCTTTAGCAGTAAGAGGAAACCGGAGGACCCGGAGAAAACCCACGAGGATGGACAGGCGACCCTACTCCTTGTCACGTACAACCGGGGAATTGAAACCACCATATCATTACAACAACTAGGTATGATTATAGTTAGTAGTCCACTGCCAGTTATCTTTGATGTAATAAAAGTGTTGTTTTTAGGGGAGGAGAACTTTGCCCAGTCTTCATGCTTTCCGCATACATTTTTTCCAACTGAAGTTGTCGGAGGATTTCTTTAACAGTTGACCAAACAAATAACAACTGGGTTTGATAAATCCCAAAGCATCTTCTCAACCCACATATACGACTGAATCTAAGACACAGTGCATAATTTACAATTACTGGTCAATTTTAATGAATCTTTCGACATAAGATCAGCAGGAATGCTGATACTGAAAACATGCAATTGTTTGGAGAATGCAGACAGTTTTAATTTATGATTTTTAGGAGCAATTCTGTCTACCAGATATGGATTGTCATTATTTACTCACCTGAGGAAAAGCTGTTTCTGTTGTTAAAAGGACGTTTTCTGGCTTTAAGTCACAATGTACAATGCTTTTAGAATGGAGGTGTTTCAATGCCATTAAAATCTGCAATAATAATGGGGATTAATGTTAAATTGACATAAACTAGGTCATTTCAGGACTAAAATATGCTACTATTTTGTTCAATTATTAGTAGGGGTCTTTAGCAGACGGAACAAACCGGAGGACCTAGAGTAGACAGAACCTTTGAGCTTTGGCTCACAACCTTCTCCTTGTCACTACAAGCTTGGGATTGAAACCATGCCACTTGACTCAATGACAGACCTTTTGATCTAAAGCATATGACTACCCAATCCGCCACATTTGTATAACAAACACTAATTTTGGACAGTCTATCCTACTGTGATATGGACAAAAAGCAACAGTCCTGAATTCATATGGACTCAGACTAGTAATTATTTCACCTTATTTCATGATGGACGAATGTAGTGCGAGTTATAAATAGACAATTTTTCCCTTAATTTTTTCTCCCCTCTTCCTGCATTTTTTTTTTGACTTTTTGATGTAGAATTGGAGAAAAGGGATCAAATTTGCAATTTCATAGCAGTTTTGGGTAATACTGATGATATTACAGCGGAGGGAAGGGGGGTGTAAACTGTCTTTCTGAAGAGCGATCATTGTGTCGGAAGTGAGATTTGCACCCCAGTCAACTTCAAATCACTGTGGCAAAAAATTTAAATGGTCAACGCACAACAAACTTATGATGAGGAGATTGCTAAATGTGGTCCCCATTGTGCCTATAAAGATTGGAACCAACGGAATGTTGAGCAAAACGCTACAGCCTGTGATGTTACAGCCATTTAACATTGAAGTCAATGGGCAAATAATTGCTAGTCCGAGTCCATATACTGACCCAAGAGTTTCCTCCCTTTAACACAGTCAACATAATACATAATACCCTCGGTAACCAATGCAAGTACAGTATTATTCATTAAGGTCAGGTTCATGTGGCCCTCTGTGAACCAGAAAATCTTAATCACTAATGGACCTACTTGAGAAATAAGATATTTGGTAATGCGTTCACTGAGTCGACCTTTCGGACTTGATAATATCATCTCTAACATATCTCCCTTTAATTTCTCCATTACTACAAAAATCTAGAATAAAAAAACAATATCTAAATCTTTATTACCATTTAATGTTTGACATTTCCTCATTGAAAGGAATGTACACTATTGTATGATACAGTGCGCACATGCTAACCCATTCGGCCATCCACCCCCATTTATATGGTCTTATAGATAAAGATATTAACAGTTTGATATAGTGATAATTATCAAGAAAATTACAGAACTGTTGTAAATAAACTCATGATTAACTAGCACAAAACAAAACATGACAAATATTATTTTAAAACAACAAATTGGAATAACCAGCGGCTGCCAGGCAGGATACGCCCACATTTTGCAAGAGATGGATAGAGAACAAGATAAAAACAAACGTGATTTTTTGTACAATCAGGGGCAATAATCCAGAAAGTTATGGTCTTAAATGTGCAAATATCAAAAGTGACAGAGATCTTTGGGATATAAAGATATGTTTTAAGTTTCATCAAAATTGGATAAAAATTGTGACCTCTAGAGGGTCCACAACCTTCGTATTACACACTTCTACACAATTTGCATAAAAAGAGCAGCTATTTTGTCGGGCAGTATCATTTCGATTTTCACGAAATACGAATGCAACCTTCATTATGGTGGAATGATGATGTATTTAAACAGTTTTTAAAATCGGTAAAAGAAATGCGATTTTTCGAACAATCAGGGGCCATAATCCAGGAAGTTATGTTTGGGTATCCGAGATTATCAAAAGGAACCAAGATCTTAGTGTGCAATGGTGATATATTCAAACGATTTTATAAATCGGATAAAAATTGTGACCTCTATGGGGTCCAAAAGCTAAAAACATGATTTTTCATACAATCAGGGGTCTTAATTCAGGAAGTTACGATATGATATGCACGAATATCGAAAGTAATCGAGATCTGTGGGTTATTAACATGCATTTCAGGTTTCATCAAAATTAGATGAAAATTGTGACCTCCAGAGGGTCCACAACCCTGATACACAACATTTTGACACTATTTGTGAACAAGGGGCGGCCATTTTGTCAATTTCGGTCCGATTTTTAAGAAATTTGAACTCAACCATCCTTAGGGTGTAACAGTGATATATAGCAATGTTTTCTTAAATCGAATAAAAATTGTGACCTCTATGGGGTCCACAAGCTAAAATCGCGGTTTTTACGTACAATCAGGGGCCATAATTCAGGAAGTTATGGTCCAATATGCGCAAATTTCGAAAGGAACCGAGATCTGTGGGTTATAAACATACATTTCAAGTTTAAACCAAACAGTGTTCACAAGCTAAAAACGTGATTTTTCGTACAATCAGGGGCCATAATCCATGAAGTTACAGTCCGATACATGCCAATATATCGAAATGAACCAAGATCTTAGGGTGATAAACCTATATTTCAAGTTTTATTGAAATCGGATAAGACCTGTAGACTGTGGGCGTATAAAAAAAAAATCTTGCTTGCTAGACAAGTCATCATTTTAAATTTCCTTTATCAAATCTCTTGAATGAATGAAAGCCAGACACATTAATATTCCTTTTTTAGCAAAATTCATGTAAAGTGGGTAAGAGTTTAACCGTTGAATTCCCACTTAATTTTGATTCTAACCAGATGACATTTATTTTTTCAAGATCATAATAAGGCAAGTATCCACAATGTGATATTAATGGATCTCAATGTCTCATATCAACACAATACCTTCAAGATAAATATGCTGGAAATTCAAATTTGTTAAAAACGTGTTTTATGTTTTGTGTCAGTAGTCTGCAGTGTTTTAGTGATGTTTGCGACCGTCCCTTGAGATTTTTGCTCCCAAGACTCAGCTATGGGGTCTAGTATTCAGAAACGTGAGAAGGGCAGACACTTTAAGTTTGTAAAATATAGGTTGCCAGGCAACGAAACATACACCCACATCAGTAATTTTCAGAAATCATCAGAATTTGTTTGGCTTCTAGTTCTGTCCTATACTCTAGCAGTAATTATCATAAATCATTGTAAATCAATAGGTCTCTTTGTCTCATGAACTTAAACACTGTGCATAAATTCAAAGTCAATTGGATATTAACTTTAGCCTCTAGAGTGTCCAAAAGATTTTTCAAAGTGAGCAAGGGCTATAACTTTGGCAGTAATTATTGGAAATCGTTGAAAATCAATAGGATTCTTCACTGTGTGTAAATTTAAAGTCAAGCGGATATTGACATTAGCCTCTAGAGCAAGGGTTTCAGACTCATTTCTATTCAGGGGCCACATGAACTCAAATTTGATATCAAGTGGGTCCTTGAACTTTACTGAATTCTAAAAACAAAGCCAAACGTCCTTGACACAGGTAATTTTGTAGACTGGTTTCCAAAAATTGCCTAGATATAATATTGAACACAACGTTCTCTTGGAATACATACAACTTAGATATCTACGACATACAGTACAAAAGTTAGAGTTTTACTGAAACAGGAAAACAATAATAAACGATTTCTAACGCTAGTTTCTAAGAATTATCGACATGTCAGTTTGTTGAAGTCAATTTGTTGAAATCTGCACAACGGGTCATATTTAAACCGTGGCGGACCGGATCTGGCACGCAGGCTGCATGTTTTAACCCCTGCTCGACAGCTATTGCCCCCCCCCCCCCCCGTAGTGTAAATACATTCAAGAGGTCAAAGTTGAGGCATAATATGAAGTTATTAAACTCTTGGTTAATATATTACATTATTATACAAACAATGTGCTTGTGTACTAATCAGTGATTTCATTGATATAAAATTATTTACCCTTTCAGGAGTTTCAAACATCTGCTCTAAATTAACACTTCCTGGATGATGGAGATTCTAGCAAAATAAAAAATCATATCATATAATTATCATTTCCTACAACCTAACATTCAAAATCTTTTCCTGTTTTAAAGATTCAAACACAACACAGACAACTGGTGACAATAGATGTTGTGAAATAGACTAAACTCAAAATGGTTCTGTCGTTCAAAAATTCCCAATGCATCGCTTTAAGCAATAATCACTTACAAACTACAGTGAGAGGTAAATCTCCAATAGTAATATCTGTCCAATAATGGTTCAATTCCGTGGAGTATTTACAGATATATGTGGAATTAAAAATTCACTGATTTATGCTACTCGCTATACAATTAGCCCACCGTCATCCTGTTGTCCTCGAAAAGCCGAGGCATTATCTAGCTTTGGTCATTTGACTTTTTTTTGTTCTACATTAAATGCTAAATATTCAATTTGATTCAATCTGAATATATATTAGCATGGATTAAGCCATGAGAAATTTGATATCTTAACGACAGATACCAACTATAGTTTAGAATAGAGTGAAATAAGGTAATACAATACAGCGGATTAAAACTTGATCAATATTATTAATCTTGTAGTTGTTCAGTACGAGACTACCTTAAATCCCTTCTAATACAGCTATCTAATGGATATTATTTTGGGAAAATAGGTCAAAGAATGTAGGAGTCAACTGAAACAACCAGAGGGTCAAAGAATCTTGAGATGCTTCATACATGAGAACTTTGGCAAATAAAGAATTTCAGACAACTAGGCATGCTCCAATGGAATATGGTATATTTTCGACCAATGGCAATTACTCATGATCCTGCTCACTCTGCATCTGTTTTCGGAATTGGCTGTAACGGTGTAACCAGACTCAATTCAGCATCACTTAATTGCAATTCAGATATAATTATTAACGATTTTTTAAATCTAATTTAAAAGATAGTCAATATATTTACCTATTGGTTATATATTAATAAAATGACTTACTACCTGTAAAATAGCTACTTCCGTTTTAAGTTGAGCTTCCTGTTTAGTTGGAAACCTCATCTTATCTATAACTTTTATAGCTACTTCACGATTAGTCTTTCGATGACGTCCTAAAAAATAGAAAATCGTGAAGAATAAAATTTCCATATTGTAATTTCAATAAATTTATGTGTCATTGTAATCTACTGGTACATCATAAAATTTCTCTGATTGTTGGAGAGCTGTGGTGGTTCAGGGAGTAAGGCACTGTCTTGCCAGCCTGGAGATCTTGTGTTCGATCCCTGTGTCAGCTGAGTTCCTGGGGATTTTCTGGTGCAGTTTCACCTTTTCAGTGGTGCACGGCACAATTAACTGTGTCTAGTTGGGTGGATGGGACAAAAACCGAGGTCTTGTGTACACGCTGACATGTTTGTATAAAGCAAGGTGTCGTGCCTCTCTTATGGACAAAATTTCCCCTCATAGCACACTGTATGGCATATGCCCATAGCCCATCTGCATTAGTCCAGTTGGTGCAAAATAGTCAGACATTAAACCTCATTTCATCATTTCAATCAATATTTTTGATTGACATAATCCCTTGTTGATTATCTTTTAAATAGCAAAATGTGTTTAGTTGTGATTTATCCTTCTCTTAAGAACAGCCATCGACTTAGTGCAGATTATAACTTTCAACTATAAATCTGTCCAGTCTTTTGTAATGTTGGGATTTTGATCACATCGTGATTAGTCTTGCAGTCAAAGCTCCAACTTGACATCAGTTTACTTAATTAAAATGGCTACAACTCATTGATATGGGTCAACAATAATACTGATTTCACTGGATCATAATTTCTTATTTTTTTGCTTGATTACAATCTCAGACTATCTGTCTTTGCTGACAATTTTCTCTAAAGATAAAGCCATTATTGAGAAATAAGCAATTTTGTTTCCTACTGTCGACACAGAAAAAGAGATAATGGGTTTAACGTTAATTTGATAAGAAGTAAGTTAATATTAAGATATTGAACACATTTTATATTATTAATTTGCTTGCACGTAGGGGTTTTTAGTAGTGGAAGGAAACTCCTTGTCACCTACAAGCTTGAGATCGAAACCGCGCCACTGGACTCAATGATGGATCTTCAATAAACAGTCTGGGGGGTTGGATGGCCGAATGGTTAGCACGCGCGCTGTGTCATACAGTTTGTCATTGAGTCAACTGGCGGGGTTTCGATTCGCCAGTTGTATGCGACAAGGAGTAGGGTCGCCTGTCCAACCGCGTGGATTTTCTCCGGGTCCTCCGGTTTCCCCCCACTGCTAAAGACCCCTAACTGCAAGCAAATTATTGAAATAAAATTGAACCATGTGTTAGTCCCAAAATGACCTAGTTTGTGTCGAGTGAACGTTAAACCCCATTTCTCTCTCTCTCAATAAACAGTCTAATTCATTCTGATTCCATAGAGTAGATATATGTGGGCGAAAAGAATAAAATTTACCTCCATAGACAATACCAAATTGTCCGGATCCAAGAACATCATCTGGAAATATCTGATATAAGGTACTGATGTCAGCCTGAAATATATTTAAAGGTCCAATATTTGAGATTAAAAGGCAAACATAGCAACATAGACTATCAAACCATACATAATAAATATTGGTCCAAATATTATTAAAATCTATGATTCTTTTAGCTATGGTCATCTAAAGTTGACATTACTTTCTATCAAATACAGAAAATGATTTAATGAAACAAAGTCAGAAAAATAATTTTGATATATATTACACAGCAATGCATTTTGTCTATCCATCTATTGATTGTGATATGACCTTGAAATTCATACATCATACATGGAAATGATGTAACAAGTGTTATAATAAATTATAGTACCATTGTTCTTAAAGGGCACTCATGTAAACTAAAAGTTTGTGCATTCACCAGGGGAAAATGATAACTTAGCCTACCTAAAATAATCAATCTATATATATATATATATTTATGACTGTTGTTTGTTTGGGTTGGCAGCTACATTAGGGTTGCCCTGTGAGGTGGTTGAAATTTGGGGAATAAAGGTAGCATGACATAGGCCTAGTGGTTCGATAACACCCCCTCTGGTTTCTGAGTTGTGCTACTTCTGGTTTCTGAGTTATATTACTTCTGGTTTCGGCTCTATCTGTGCCACACTGAGTAAACAGCTATTCTTAGCATAAAACACTGCGGGTTACAAATAAGATATGGTTTGTACTTTAATATGTTTGATAAAAACTTACAGGTTTGTTAGACTGGGATCCAGAATCTCCATTTGTTGTACCATCTGTCAATAAATAAAACAAAATATTACTACATTACAAAACGTTACGTGGTAGCCACAGTGGCTCGGTGAGTATGTTACAAAACATTATGTGAGAGCCATAGTGTCTGAGTGAGAAGACTATGTTACAAAAGATTATGTGAGAGCCTTAAGTGTCTCAGTGAGAATACGATGTTACAAAACATTATGTGAGAGGCATAGTGTCTCAGTGAGAAGACTATGTTACGAAACATTATGTGAGAGGCATAGTGTCTGAGTGAGAAGACTATGTTACAAAACATTATGTGAGAGCCATAGTGTCTGAGTGAGATAACTGTGTTACAAAACATTATGTGAGAGGCATAGTGTCTCAGTGAGAAGACTATGTTACAAAACTGTGAGAGCCATAGTGTCTCAGTGAGTATGAATAAAACTTGATGGAAATGAAAATGAAATGGGGTTTAACATTTTCTGCATCGACTGAGATAATGAAGATGGGCATACGCAATGCAGTGTACTTTGAGGGAAATCTTGCCTGGACAGCATCACTATGGCCAACTATTATATCAAAATCCAACTATCAATGGTTCTTTTAAATGCAAGCCATAGCGTATACACAGAACCTCTGATTTTTGTCCCATCTGAACGACTAGACAGCTGTCCTTGCACCAATGACCATGGAAAATCAAGAGGAAATTCCTTGCCCAACACCAGGAGCGAACCAGGGTACTCCAGGATAGCAAGCCAGCATCTTACTAACTGAACCCACGCGGCTACAAAACTTGATTGAAATATCCAAAACACAATGCAGATTGTATCAAATGAAGAAATAGTGTGGTAGCCAAGATGGTAGAAATGTTAAATGAGAAAAACAATTGTTTCAAAATTGGTTAGAAAATTGTTTTTCTCTTCTGAGAAAAATATTTTATAGTCTTTGCCTGTATCCCAATCCTAGCATTCAATAAAATAATGTTCATATAAAAAAAAAAAAACCAAGAGGTTGCCATGCAAGATACGCCCACATTTTGCAAGTGATGAACAGAGTACAAGCTTAAAAAGTGATTTTTCGTACAATCAGGGTCCATAATCCAGGAAGTTACAGTCCTATGTGCGCAATTATCGACTGGAACCGAGATCTTTAAGTTATAAACATACATTTTAAGTTTCATCAAAATCTGATAATTTTGTTATCTCTAATAGTAAGTGCAGGAGGACCACACTACACGCAAAACAAACATCTACAAGATAAACCTACGGACAAGACAGAAAATAGACATTGCACCAAATAAACAAATATCAAATCAAGTGAATGGATCCGGGGGCTAGCCGTAAGTGTCCACTGCGCGTTGTACAGTCCCGGGCCTGTAGTGACACAGTGTCCACAAACTAAAAACGTCAGAGGCCATATATAATCTATAAAGTTACGATCCGAAACATGCTAATATGAAAAGGAACCAAGATCTTTGAGATATAAACCTATATTCCAAGTTTTGTCCAAATCGGATAAATTTTGTGACATATAGAGTGTCTACAAACAAATTATGGACGGACAGACAGCGGCGACAACAATATGCCCACATGAAGAAAAAAAGGCGTATAAAAATGATTTTGACTTACCATCAGCAGCATTACTAGAACTGGTGACAGGCATCAAGGCTTGACGAATAGAATGTTCCCAATGTTTGGCCTGCTCCAGACCACTTCCACTCTCTGGTGACGAGACAGTGTTAGTGTTACTCTGACCATAACCAATATCTTCACCAACATAATAAGTGAAGGATGTTGTACGAATCTCGAATACATGTGGAGGTCGGCTGAATTCAGTACCTGATTTAATCTTTAAAGCTTCAATTCCTGTGATTGAGTTGAGTTGTATTTCCTAGAAATAGATCAGAAATGTTAGAGAAAATAAGATATTATTGTCTTTGATGATACCATAAAAGAAAACTTATAAATTTATTACTTCCTCCATATTCAATATTTTAAGCATATTTAACAGTAAAATGACACCATTTTTAAAGATGATCTAAGCATTATTACACAAGGTATTGAAGCCAATAGAAAATATTAATTAATGTCATTGTTAAAAAAGGCAATATGATTATAAAAAATAGGAACTACTGAAGTTATGTAATGTTTATAGCGTCTTAGATCTAAAACCAGAGCACCTTGCTAGATCCTTAAAATCACTGATAGCAGCATTTTGAAGGATGGTTTCAAAGTTCCCAGGAGAAGGGTCATAAAATTGATAAGTTTTTGTCATTAAAGATGCATTATTCAAGAGCTAAATACTGATCGTTCGTTTGACACCAAATATTATTATAAACCATTAATTAGACATTTATTTACATCCCAAGCCCATAATCAACTCTCTAGTAGAACTACATTAGATTTTAATTTTCAACAAATTTAAATATGACTGACAGTTATTGAACTAATTTAAAATCGGATAAACAAGACTTTGTTTATTATCGTAACAATAGTAGCAATGACAATCGAGACTTCACTGTTTTGCAAACGACAATAAATCTGCTAAGAATGAAGTAATTTGACTGAAATTTTCAACATATTCTCTTTTCATTATCTATCTTTTAATTATTATAAAGAGAAATATCAGCTCTTTATCTAAATCTTACATAATGCATCTTTAACTGAACAATCCTGGCAAGTTTGAAAAGACTGAAACCTTAAAAAAATATGACCTGTTGAGCATTAGGATCAGTTGATCGACGCCTTGGAAGTAAAAGCTCTGAATCGCAGAGGGTTCACAAGGATTGTTGATGTGGGTCAGACAAATGGACGAATAGTAATATACACCCTCATGAAACGTAGGTGCATATTAAAATCGTTATAAAAATATTCACTTTTTTATTGATGTTATTCTACATCTGCTGCAATTACCCTTTAATTAATAAAACCTGGGCCCTGTTTCTCGAAATTTTAACTAAAGATAAAATCCAAATTTTAGTAGATACCTCACTTTTGATTGGCTAAGCACTAAAATCAATTTAATATTATCCAATCAAATTACTAAAATCTGGATTTTATCTTAGTTAAAATTTCGTGAAAAAGGACCCAGTATTTTAGTCTTAGCTCAATAATGAAGTTTGTGCTTATGTCGAGTATACCCAAATATAGTCTCTTTTTTCCTAAAAAGTGGTTTTCTAGCTTAAAGTAGCTAAGTCTCTAACTCAATATCATCAAAAATCTTCGATATTGAAAACACAAAGTATTTGTCAATTTAAATCAACATTAGTGTTGTAATCTAACAGGGAAATGATGGGCTACTGATATCCAGTTTTCAAGACAAAATATACATTTTACCATTGGCACACGAATTGTGTACCATAATGCGTTTCAGCGCCATTTGGAACAAGGGACTCAAAGAACGCGACTAGACATATTCCACAAGTCATGTCAAATGATGACGCTATATTCTTATCTGGAGAGCATGCGCAATACATATCATCGGTGTAGACTGGAATAACCAGACGCTAAAGATTGCCATTCAATTGAGACTTCTGGCGTATTTCGCCGAACATAACTGATTAGAAATTACAGTAAAAACAGAAACAGTTGAATGTAAATCAGTTTATATACATTCACATTGCAATATAATATGCGTTGCGACCCATTTGTGACTATTTCTAGGTCCAAATATTAGCGATTTAGCTCCTTTAAAGCTTGTAAATCATGTTGCCATATGTCTATCTCTATATTCCATACTGATCTATTTGAAAATCGTGCCACTAGCTCTGGTCAAATATATTGACATTAACTTTTGTATTTACAATTTAATTGTGCAGTATGTCAGGGTGATGCCATTATTCATTTATGACACATTATATAAGTAAAAGCAATTTTACAATTTCATTTCGAAATAAAATTCTACAATTACAAGGTTTGATCTTAAAAATATAAATAAAATAAAACGCAGATCTTTAAAAAATTCAGACATCATAAACCACTGAATCACAACATATGATATCATGATCATGGAAGCAATAAATATTTACTGTCACAAATTTTATATTTTTATTTAATTAATCAGAGAAAATAAAAACAATTTATCAAGTTATCATATTGCTTCCTTCTAAAAACCATATACCTATATATCATGTATCACACATTTCAACAAATACAAGGGCAATAATTTTCTAAATAATTGATACAGGTTCGAAATTTCAATAGAGATATCCTAATGACTAGTCAAAGAATCCAAGGAAGTTTGAAAAAATATCTTTAAAAATCTCCTGTGAGTTTGAAAAAATATCTTAAAAATCCTGACCAATAGAGCATTTATAAGAATTGTAGATTTATAAAGAGACACACTACAGATTCGGAAATGTTCTCTTCTGGCTACTGACACTTAAATCTTAAGAATAACATTAAGTTATAATAATGTTGCTTACCTTAAAATATCTACTAGATGTTTCATTAGCAAATAGAGTAATAACTTTAGAATCTAATCTCCAATATCTACGTTTTCTCTGCAAATAAAATATTCAAAATGATAACATGCACAGAAGTACTATAGGATCAACATATTCTTCAAAGAGACAAGCTATAGTGTAATTATATAAATTTATTTTTTTAAATTTTCAATGTTTTTAAGATCTTCTGCTCCTAAACTGGGCTAATGAAGACGGCTTAAATTTTGTAGCCCCAACAGAAAAATCATCTAGCTAGCTGTAATCAAACATTTAGGAGAACAGAACCACAATTCACTTGATTTGTCGGACTGATGTTTGGAAATTCAAATATATGCATGAATTACGACTTGATATAATGAGTAATCGATATATTATACATTCAGACTTTCATTCAACAGTTTCTTTTTGGGACCGGGTACCATTCAGATTTGACGAAAAAAGGAAAGAAACTGAGCTTACTATCTAGAATCTAATACTCGTTTCCAGTTAATAAATTGCCATCCAGAAAGTGTCAAGTGCCATCGTCAAGATTCATCAAAAAACGTCCAGTTTGTGCTTCGTATAGTTTAAGAAACACTGTTTAGTTTTGACATCGGTCATCTAGTTTATGAAACTAAATGGTCATAAACCAGACGACCAATATCAAAACTAAACTAAATGGTCATAAACTAGACAACCAATGTCAAAACTAAACAGTGTTTCTTAAACTACATGGTAGCAGAAACTGGGCCTTTTTTTTGATGAATCTTGATGGCATTTAATACTTTCTGGACAGCAATCTATTGGATACGTGTATTAGATTCTAGATGGTAAGCTCAGTTTCTTTCCTTTTTTCCTCAAATCTGAATGATACCCGGTCCCTAGTGGCTATAAGTAATTGTTTATCTGAACAATTTGTTATTCATGAAGCATAATTCCAAAATTAATGGAGTTCAATGTCCATTTCCAAACACACAACATAAATTCATATTACATTTCTTTTTACCAGATTTGTATAATTTAGATAATTCCAACCAATTAATGACCTACAGAATGGAGTGCCTGTCCACCAGAAGCATGTAGCAACTAATTAAGTAGAAGGTCAGAATGTAAGATATAATGAGTATAACAAGAACGATTGTTTTCCAATTAAAAGATATACTTAATCTTTAAAGGGCTAAATCTGTAACTCAATATTTTTCAAGATAATTTAAAATTAAAATGTGGATAGAATTAAATATTGGTCAATTTTAATCAATATTGATATTGTTATCTTGGTGTGAAAATATAGGATCCAAATATCCAACATTTAAGACACAATGAACATTTTATAATCAGTACACAAGTCATGTATTCTATGATTTTGGGCACCATTTTGTAATGACCCCCCCCCCCCCCAAAAAAAAAAAACCAATGCATATCCTACAAGACAATGTGGAAGTAATTAGTAAAGGCTGATTAACAACTGACAAAATAATAATAATAAAAATAAAATGTGTAGAACTAAGCAGACGTAAATGACTGTCATCAATTTGAACCGTTCACATATTTCACTCAACATAACTGATTATAAATTAAAATATTCTTTTCACAAGTTGAATATAAATCATATTACATACATAATTCATATTACATAAATATGTGCTTTTAGAACCATTTTTGTATATTTCATGGCATTTATTGATTGAGACATACATTAACAGAACACAATTTTTATGGGAAACAATCACTGGTTTTATTCTAAAAGAACAAGGGGGTTGAATGGCCGAATGATTAGCACAATACAACCAGTGATTATTAAGATATACTTACAGTGTTGTCTTTATTTGTAAAATGTACCATCCAACCTTCTTTTAATATCTTCGAACCAGTTCTTTTTGTCAATTTAACGGACTGTACAACTCTCATTAATGGAATATTACTACTCTGCGTTGGGCTATAAAAGAAATTAATAAAATAATTGTCACTCAAGGGTACAATATTGGTTAGAATCGTAGTTTTTCATCCATTTGAGGCATTAATGACCTTTGGCAATATGTTTTTAAAGCAGTGCAATCTGGGCAATGTTTTTTAAGCAGTGTAATCTGTACCTTTGTTTTCATTTGTAATGGTATTTAACATACAATTTCGAATATTTTCTTGATAATAAATGTAAACAATTTTTGTCTCCTACACTTTTGATTAGGAATTTCCATTAATAATAAAGCCAGAGAAGACAAAGCGAGTAAGTTTTTTGATCAAAAGCACAGACTAAACGGTAAACATTAAAAACAAGTCTTGATAAAAAAGCATATTGGTCCATTAAAATCCATTAATCCTAACATGAGTAATGTTTATATAAAGTTCACATTACTTTCTAATCATTTCAAACTTCCATCTTTAATTTCATGTTGAGGTCAGAATGATAACTTATTTCTTTCAACAAATATTGAGATCAAAAACTTGAAGAAGATATCTAATCTAGCTGTTCTGTTTTAATTATCGAAAGAACATATTCAGCCAGGCTAAATTCAAATAAGGAAAACATAAGATATCCTTTTCCATTAGGATGACCACCTTTGCTTGATCAAATTGCGGGACATTTCAGAAAAAATATATGTTGCTCAGAATCCCTATTATTTGCTACGGATTCGTGGCTCGGAAACGTCATTTCCAGCAATCTGAGACAAGAAATATGGTACTGAAATACTCTGATTTTGTAGTGATAACTTGTGATTTTCACCTGAATGCATAACAACTCAAGATAGTTTAATGAGTTTATGAGGGTAGGCTACTTCTTGTTCGACTTCACACCTTCTAATAATCTGCGATTTATTAATATATATTTGTGAAACTCCTGACACGAATATTTAAAGTTTAACTTAACCCTTTCAATGCTAGACGTAAATTCACTGCCTGTGCTAGAACCTTTTTTGAGGAAAAAAGGGGGGTTGAAACTGAATGCCAAACAGTACTTATGGAAGCTTTTATGAAAAATCTTTTTGTCTGTTGGGATGGGCATGAGGTTGGGCTAAGAGGAAAAAATAGAATTTTGGAAATTTGCATAATAATGTAGTCAAGTGACGTCATGGCGGCCATTTTGGATTTCTCATTTTCTCACTAAAGCTAACACGAAAACGAATTTTTCTCCATGAAATACTTATGAGATATTGTTTTTTTCACTGGATTTTGATAAAGATATATAAAATGAACAAAAATATCAATAGCAGTCATGAGCAATGCCACCACGAACACGCGAATCACGTCTCCCGCTGCCATGACCACATGCGGATTGCAATATCTTGTTTTTACTTTCACTTTCATCCCATATCATTATCAATATAGTCAGTCAATAGATCTACACGTTCGGGACTCAGGAATTGCCTATGTCTTTTACGATCCAGCAGGCCAGCATTATTATCAACATCAGAATTATTGTCAGAATCTACTGCAGACACAGGGCTATCGTGTTCACATTGGGCTTGTTCATCATGCACGGGAGACATAGCTAGCCATGGGCGGAACGTCGCGCAACAAATCACACACTTTATAATACCAATCACTGTCCTGACTACTATCATTATCAAGTAACTGGAAACGAATTATGTGTATCACCTGCCTCGAAATTGTCCACGTGTTGGTCAGCAAGACGTCATTCACGACTTCGTCGAGAGTGCATCGTCTACGTTGTCACTATGCACTCCGCCATTTTACGGTTTGCTGCTTTGAAACACGTGGAAATATGTTCTAGTGTATAGGAAATACAATAGATGGCACTTGCAGTTACGGTACTAATTTAAGCAAGGGCTTTACTGAGTACACGGTAATACCGACATTTTATAATACCCGGTACTACCGGGTATACGCAATGAAAGGGTTCATTTGAATTTCATATATATAATAAGTTTTACTGATGCCTGGTTTCTGTCATCTCTCCAATAATTTTTCATCACTGAAAATATGTGCTCGAAATAAGCATTGCAAACCGGCATGGAAAGAACATGGTCCATGCTTCCATCCATTTCTTGCCCAGCGAGATTAGCTTTACACATATAGAAATCTTGCATGTGAGCAATTGCGGGACATTTTGGTTGTTTTTCAGGCCGCGGGACTTGGAAGCATTTTGCAGCACTGTCCCACGAAATGTGGGATGGGTGGTCACCCTATGTTACATAGGTCAAGGGTAGAAGTGATAACAATGAAATGGGGTTTAACATCCCACTGTTCCGCTCTTAAGAAGTGATAAACTGCTTACCTTAGAGGTGGTTTTCTAACTATGTCATCGTTATCAGCATCTTCACCAATGTCAAGTAAAGGTAGAGATTCTTCCTCCTCAGGAAATTCTGAGGGTGTTTCTGATATTTCTGATGTTTCTGTTGGAGCCAGACTGTCAGTATCTGAAGGTTCGATAGCTTCATAGGCTGAAAAAGATTTTTTTTCATTTAAATTCAAAATGTCAACTGTTAGAAAATCTCATTCGACATGGCTAATAAATCAATTTACGGTACATTTTGTACTTTTTTCAACATTTTTAATGAGGATAATAAGATACAATGTCAATCAATTTGTTGATTAGGAATTTACATTAAGACTTACATTACCAGCATTAGCACTTAAAGTCCTGTGACCTGTTTCACAAAATTCTAACTAAGATAAAATCCAAATTTTAGTAATTTGATTGGATAATATTAGATTGATTTTAGTGCTTAGCCAATCAAAATTGACGTATCTACTAAAATTTGGATTTTATCTTTAGTTAAGATTTCTAGAAACAGGGCCCTGGTGCGTCATTTTAAGCAATCAAAATCACTTGCAAACTACAATATTGTGAAAGTTAAATCTCTAGAGGAATATCAGTCCAATAATAGTTCAATTCTGTTCAGTTTTTACAAAGTTATGTTAAAATGAAATTTCGTTGGTCTATGATGCTTGAGCTTAACAAGATGATGACATCTTTTATTGATAGTGGACAAACCTGATGGGTCTACTTTAAATCAGACTGAATCCAAGCTAGGGAGATTATCTAGCATTGGTATTTTGATTTTGTTTTCTAAATTCCTAATTACAGTATATGAAATAATCAATCTGAGTACATACTTAGCGTGTATTAAGGTGTGAGAAATTTGATATCAGGATTTTAACTTAAATTTAAAGGATATAAATTTTAAATGCAAACAATAAGACCGAGTCTCTCTGTCTGTCTCTCTCAAAAATATAAAAGATAACAGAACTCTGTACTTTAGAAGTTACATGCTTTGTTCACAATTCTAGTCAGTGGATTACTAATAAACCCCAGCTTAAAACTTAATTACAAATTTAATCTCCATCACTAAAATGATTGTTTAATGTATTATCACATTAAAATAAGGAGTTTGATGTCCATTAACCATAATTAGGCTAGACACATCAGAATTTTTTTTTCATTAAATTTAAATATGATTAATCTTTGAGGTCTCTGATCATCATTTCAAAAATTGTTCACTCCCTTAAAAACTATAATATTGTGGAAGTTGAATATCTAAATGGAATATCAAAAAAAAACCCACCAATGGTTCAATTAAAAAAATATGAAGGATGGAAACCGACAATATGATATAAAATGCGATATGGAAATCGACAATATGATATAAAATGCGATATAGTCAACCTGTGATTTTCGCTGAAATGAGATTGTTTTTATCTGATTGAATCAAAGCTGAGAAATTATGTAACGTTGATATATTAATTATTAATTAAATATTAAAGAACCAATCTGGGTAGATTTAGCATAGATTAAGCTGTGGAAAATTTGATGTTTTCATAAAAAAGAAAACAGTGCACTATAAATGTCTGTAAGCCAGGATAACTATGATTAACATTTTTTTTTTTTGGCTGATTACATTAACATGAATTTCAAACAATGAGAAATAATATAGGTAACAGTGATGTGGTGGAAAATAAAAAAAAACATTTTGGTTCATTCATAAAAGAAAAACATTTTGGTTCATTCATATACTATCAAGCAGGATATATCCACAGTGAAAGAGAAATCAGTCAACCATAACTTCAGGGTGTGGTTTCTTCCTTGTGTGTCTCATGGACCACTTAAATGGTCGGGTGAAATTCTTTTAAATTAAGTTTTTAACTGAACAATATTATGTAAACATCGTGTGAAACTTTAATATACATTTCCTCTATAACCCAGACTTGTGGACTGTTGATTAAAGGTTCAAAGGGTCATTGTCATTCTCTCTAAAATATCAAATTTCTCATGGGTTAATATTAATACACACTACAAAATCAAAATACCAACACTAGATAATTTCCTGGGCTAGGACTCCGGTATTGCCACCGCCAATAAAGATGTACCAATTTACACAAAATTGGAATTATTTTTTAACCAGATATATTTCAAACGGCTTTATTTATATTTCTAATAATTTAAAGAATGATTTTAGAATTTAATTTGTAGGAGAAGAAAAGTAAATACTAAGAGCAAATTAACTCGTTCCCACATGAATATTTAACGCAGATCAGTTTGATGCTCATCATCAAAATGGGGGGTTGGATGGCCAAATGGTTAGCGTGCTGTATCATACGGCCTATCATTGAGTCAACTAGCGTGGTTTCGAATCCCCGGTTGTACGTGACAAGGAGTAGGGTCGCCTGTCCAACCTCGTGGGTTTTTTCTAGGTCGTCCGGTTTCCTCCCACTGCTAAAGACCCCTACGCGCAAGCGAATTATTGAAATAAAATTTAACCATATGTTAGTCCCGAAATGACCTAGTTTGTGTCGAGTGGACGTTAAACCCTATTTCTCTCTCTCTCTCAACATCAAAACTAAATGGTTTTTGTTAATTCTAAACAATTGTTATTACTACTTTCTAAATGCTAGTCTAGTAATTACCCATGACTGTTGGATTCTTACAGATAGTAAGTTGAAATTATTATATTGTAATCATTCGTTAATAAGATCAGGGAGCGCAGATCATAAGGCTGTGATCTTTTCAAATTTTAAGTTAAATGACGTGGAAACCCAGGTGGTCGGTAAAGGTATTTGATCTTTTTGGCATATACTCAGCCAAATTAAAAACTTGACACTGATGAATTTCAACAAATTTTTTTTTCTGGTAAGTCAAATAAATTTTAAAGTGTTTCTAACGATAGTAAGTAGTAAGAAGCCTTTAATTTCATAAAATTGTAAAGTCACGTGGATCACGTGACTTTTGAGCATATAAAGATGAAAAACCTGAAAAACATGTGCAAACACAAACTCGTGAGGTCAATCGATGCAAGTTTGCTTAAACTGAACACGCACACTTAACTTGAACTGGAAAAACAAATTAAAATTGTTATTTTCATCTTTGTTAGAAAATGCCGCAATAGGTAGGCTCTATGCTGGTCAGTCTGTGGTCACTGTTGCAAGAGCCTTTAATTGTTCACGCCAGACAATAATTAATCTTAGAATGAGTGCTTCAAACTGGAACTATTGCCGACCGCCCAAGGGCGGGAGCGCCACGTGTGACGTCACTCCAGGAAGATCAAGCAATACGATTACGTCATCTTAAAAACAGATTTGTCACTGCAGCCTCCACAAGTAGAGAGATGTTTGGTGGAAGGGTAACTACACAAACTGTTCGAAATCGCTAGCAGGCTGCTGATCTTTGAGCTCGGAGGCCCTGTAATGGACCAATATTGACACCTCTTCATCGCCGTAACCGACCTGTGTGGGCCACAAGACACATAAGTTTACTCAAAGACAGTGGAATTCGGTTGTCTTTAGTGCCGAATCTCAATTCACTTTGAGATTTGCCGATGGCAGGGCCCGAGTGTACCGCAGATGAGGTGAATGTTACGCTCAAGTATGCGTCAGAGAAGTTGACCGATTTGGTGGCGGCAGCATCATGGTTTGGGGTTCTTTTTGTGCATATGGAAGTTCTCCTCTTTTTGTTGTCCTAGGGAACTTAAATGCTGTCCAGTCATTGCTTCTCCTTTGTCAGACTATATATCAATCCAATAAACTTAAATCTACGTGATTAACCCGTGATTTCTCCATTGTCTCACGTTTTAATCTCCTTGATGTCGGACGTAGACATGAGTCATATATGTCACATATCCTAATAGTATATAAGAGAGAGAGAGAGAGAAATGGGGTTTAACGTCCACTCGACACAACTAGGTCATTTCGGGACTAACATCCAACCCCCCCCCCTTATAGTATATAACACCCCAAAACAATATACATTTTGTTCGATAACTTGTCTGTGATATTTCTTCAGTGGAAGCTGAAGTTAAATAAAGCTATTTCACACACACGCAAAATGAAAGTAGAAATCTCACGAGACTTGGGGAGTTAAGAGGTGTAAACGTGCCGAATCTAATACGTCTGATGTCGGGAGAAAAGATTCTATTTTGATGGCATATTGTCGGGATTTATGATCATATTTTGAATGGGGTAAATTAATAAATAAACACGCTAAGAAATTTTGATGAATATTTCGATTGGAATAACGTAAGTATTTACGGTAATTGTTTTAGACGATAGCGCGTGCTTAGAGTCGAATGGGATTTTTTAGCACTTGGTGTCACTCGCTCGTTGTATTAGAGCGATGTTTACTATGGTTTATAAATTTCTGGATATCATTTTTTTACCTTCCGTATATAAATCGAAAAGGAGTATATTAGACGAATGCCGGACCTTGCTAAAAATTTATCGACTTATGACGCGAAAAAATACGGTAATTTTGGGGGAATTTGAAACCGGTACGGATGGGCAGTAATCAGCACGCTTTCATTCTATGGTATTACGATGTCATGTAATTTTGTAGGAATATTATTGACATAAATTTGAATACTGTACGGGAATTAAATATGAAAAATAACGAGGTGCACCTATTTTTTTATTACGTATTTATTATTGAATATTTTGTTGAGACGTGATTCTTAATTGTGGTTTAAAAACGCCTGCTTAAATAACGATAAGAGTTATGTCCCTTTATTTTCGGGAAGAAAATGTCCGACAATTAAAATTTTGAAATCCCATCTCTGGTTCCGAGCCATTGTGTTATTTGGATTCTTTTCGATCTGAATGGGACAAGAGATAATGATGCTGTGTGTGTGTGTGTGTGTGTAAGCAAGTTATTGAATTAAAAGTAAGTAATTTATAAGTCTCAGGAAGACATTACATCCCCCTTTTGTCTCTCAAGCCTTGTAGCATCAAGTGTGACTTACCATCTGCAGCATTATAAGGTAATTCTCCAGCACAATCATTAGGCACTAATGGTGAACACTTTCTGTGACAGTTAAATTTACAGTCTGTAATAAATAAACATTGTTTATCAATAATCATACAATAAATAAACATTGTTTATCAAAAATCATACAATAAATAGACATTGTTTATCAAAAATCATACAATAAATAAACATTGTTTATCAATAATCATACAATAAATAAACATTGTTCATCAATAATCATACAATAAATAAACATTGTTTATCAATAATCATACAATAAATAATCATTGTTCGTCAATAATCATTCAATGAATAAACATTATTCATCAATAATCATACAATAAATAAATGACAAGAAATGAAATGGGGTTTAACGTCCTCCGAACTGGGTACAATAATTAAACATTGTTTATTAATAATCATACAATGAATAAACATTGTTCATCAATAATCATACAATGAATAAACATTGTTCATCAATTATCATACAAAAATGAGTTTATAACTTTAGTTCATATACTACTCATAGTCAAGCTTTGGAGACGAACAGCTATAAGATAGTGTTACCTGGGGTCATTTTGAGATGATCAACAATAAGATAATGTTACCAGGGGTCATTTTGAGATGATCAACAATAAGATAATGTTACCAGGGGTCATTTTGAGATGATCAACTATAAGATAGTGTTACCAGGGGTCATTTTGAGATGATCAACTATAAGATGGTGTCAATCTGATTAAAATACAGATCTATATTTCGTTTTGTTTTTTATACTTTTGATGGCCTCCACTACATGAAGATCGGATGTGCTGGGAGATAGTGTCAGGGGTCATACAAGCGGCTTTAGACCCTATGACATCAGACATTTGATTAACCAATCAGCATTGATGTTTCTAGTGGGATACCCACAGTTCCATGCACCGCACGCCAAAAATTAGATCCTAGTGTAGTAAAGACAAGTAAAACGAAATTTTGCACTATAAAAAACGAAACGAAATAGGATCTGTGTTTTAATCAGATTGAGATAGTGTAACCTGGGGTCATTTTAAAATGTTCAACTATAAGACAGTGTTTCCCATCCCGGGGTCATTTTGAGATGATCAACTATAAGATAGTGTTTCTGATTTTCAACCCACTGTCCATCTGTACCGCTGACAAGGGAGAAACTGCGGCAGAAAATCCTAAGGAACATTCTCAGCTAACAATGTGAACAAACATAAGAGCTCCTGGTTAGTGAGCCAACGTCTTACTCACTGAGCCATTGCGCCAGAAAACAAATGAACTGGAGAGCTCCTGGTGAGCGAGCCAGCCTCTTACTCAATGAGTCACTGCAGCTCCCCTACTGCTGTAAGAAACTGATAATACATACCTTTACACTGCATACCCTGTCTAAATAATCCACGTAATAAACGTTTACACAGCTGACAAACAGTAGGTCGAGTATAATTATGAACGATGAAAGTATGTGGAACTTTTATACGATTGCGATACTCTCTTTCCAACCATACAGGACGACCACTCCATGACTTTGTACGGCTTCCAGGTCCACCTGGAGAAGGAGGACAGCCAGAACTTGAAACATTGAGATGATTCTGAAAAACATTCAAAGACCCTTTTAAAAAAATAATCCAGAATATCAATGCTATAAATAAATCACGATAAACATTTATAATTTGTCAGAATTAGTGGAATGAGGGATCACAGATTAAATGGTGCTTCTCTGCTAGCTTTGTTTCGATTCTCTTCATGGCCAAGCAAAGTAAGAGAGAGAGAAACAGGGTTCAACATCCTTTCTACAAAAACCATTTCAATAATTCAATTGCACATACAGGTCTTTAGCAGTGGGAGGAATCCAGAGGACCTGTAGAAAACCCACGAGGTTGGACAGGCAACGCAACTCCTTGTCACGTACAAGCTTTGGATCAAATCCTCGTCACTTGACTCAATGACAGAACTTATGATCTTAAGTGCACACATCATACCACTCAACCACCTAGTAATGTAAGAAATCCTTTTCACTCAACGTGTACATATATTCAAATTTTTCCTTCCAATATGATCACATTTTACATGCCACATGTTCTGTACTAATTTAAGAAATCCTTTTCACTCAATGTATATTCAAATTTTTCCTACAAATATGATCACTTATTACATGACACATGTATTGTATTTTATCTGTTGCTATTCTATTGTAGATCGTAATTATATATACCGGTGTATGAATTAATATACTTCAAAAAGAAAAGATATCCGGCAAATGCATAGGCCAAAATAACCAAAAATCTTTCAGTAATTTGAATTTTTTTCCTAAATGGATGTAGAAACTTTTTTTTTTTTTTGGACATTTTATCAACAGAGTATCTGCCAATCTTTCCCAGAACATGGGGCCTGTAGATTGGGGACATGCTGTACATTAAAAGTTTTTAAAGCTGATTATAATTATAGTAACAAAAGTAATAATAGACAAAAGATGAAATATTTTTGAAATATATGAGTGATGTATATCTACACATAATTAATGCACAGTCACAGAATATTTTCTGTTTGAAAAAAATCTTGGAACACTTATGTCCAGAGTATAACATCAACGATAATAACAGCTAACCAATTGATCTTGGCTGCCAATAATATTCAGAATTACATATAATACATATTCATGTAAAAACATTTTTTGTTAAAAAAAAGTGAAATTGATTAGATCTAAGTTGAATAGAATAAAAAAAGATGTACATGAAGAAAAGAACTAAGGAAAAAAAAGGATTGAATATAGATCTAAGTTGAATTGAATAAAAAAAGATGTACATGAAGAAAAGAACTAAGGAAAAAAAAAGGATTGAATAATAATATGCAGATAAAAGCACAATGTAGCCACAATACTGTACATTGCACCACAATGTGATACGTGATATTAAACAACAACCATGAACATTTAAAGCCTTAATGAGCCATATATGGCCAATGATCATTTTCCTTATCTAAAATTGCCATAGAAATGAAATCAATTGAAAGTAATGTTAACTTCAGATAACCATGACTTCCAATTTAGATTGTCCAGTTTGAACCAATGTACTATGTTTTAAAGTACATGGCCAGTATTTGCTTTGAAGTGTGGAATATCATGTCTTTAATAAAGTAAAATCACCTTATACGAAAAATAGTAACCAGAAGAAGTGTATAAAACAAATGATCAAATGAATGGTGACAATAAAAGAATTAAAAGAAAAACAATTTATTACAGATTACAATGGACAAAATCCATAAGGCATGAAAAACAAATACGGTAACCTAGATTACACTTGATAATATGCTGGGGTTTTTTTTTTGGGGGGGGGGAGGGGTGACTTTTCATATGTTTAGAAAGACAGTATTTTTAAGTATCTGGATGAATTTCCACTGCTATAGTGTACGATTAGCTAAAATAGATGTTGCCCCTGATAATATTCACATTTGTAATTTATTTTGCATAATAATGTTAAAGAGGATATTCTTTAAACAATATTTTAAAAAATACAGGTTGCCAGGAAGTCAAGTTGTACAAGCAATTATGAGCCCTCGATGCTAGCCAGATTTTGTAACAAAGGGAAGTGATAATCGAATATCATTAAAAATTAATAGGGTTAATTGATAGAATTAATGAGCGTATATAAATGGCAAAAATAATACTTTTGATATTGTTATAAACAGAAATTGTTAAAAGCCTTCCTCACTTCATTAATATGGATAATGCATATAAATTTCATACAACTTTTTCTGTTATAATGTGCACAAGATTCTACAAGTGAAACAAGGGCCATTGTTGAAATTCAATAGGATTTTTTGTTCAGTAATCTATAAAATAATGAATTTCAAACAGACTGGGTGATCACTTACGTCATTTGAGCAGTCACAAGATTCTAAAAGGGGAAAAAGGGCATTAACTCTAAAAAAAAAAATAACGGAAATAATTGAAATGTCAACAATATATACCAATTTTAAATAGTGTTCACAAGGCTGATGGCAATATACTATCACATTTCAGTTTGGTATAAATTATAACTTTTTAATCAATAAATGTAAGATTATATGTTTGATCAAAAAATGTAGGCATTTCATTCAATCGTTACTGTAGTACAAAACCAGAGAACCAGATCATTGTCAAATTAGTAAAGTTCTAACCACTGTTACATGCAATTTATCTTGAATACTGCTCTATAATACTTGCCTGTTAATCAACCTTTTCCTCGTTATTTTAGATACAAATTTTATATATCCATTTCTCAATCTTTCTACATTAATTATCATGAAATCTTAGATGACAGAAAAATACATTCAAAGCCGAAAAAATGTAAAAGTAACATGTAGCAGATAATTCAACGACTGTCTTTACCGGTGTACTTTGAAATTGTGTGAAGACCGAAGTACAACAAGTCAAAATCTTCTTAAAGCTATGATAATAACTAAGTGTGATCCAAGAAAATGTTCATTTATTTTAATTAAAACTATTAATCTTAAATCTTAAGTGGTAATCTTTCCTTTTTTCTGTGCTTAAGATAATTTTTTTTGCAATAGTTTTAAAAGGCTGTTTTTATAATGAACGACAATCATTAATCATGTCTAATAACATAGCTATGATGTCATCCTTTGATCTTTTAATCCATTATAATGAGGAATGGATTGTTGTCTAAAACAACAGTCCATTATTAATGAAAAGAGTCTATTATTTATGGAAAGACAGAGTCCAATATTTTTGGAAAATGTCCATTATTAATGACAAAATACATTTAAAAAAAACCCCGAAAAACTAGCTTTTAATTACCAAAAATAATCTAACACAAACATAGCTGGCAAAAATTCTAAATTTTACATTAATAGATATCTTCTATTTTAATGTCCCTACTCGATGACACACTTAATTCCAGGTTTTGTTGCCTTGGTACTTCCAATTTTGGATGTTCTTCACAGCAAAAAATGTTAATTAAATCAGACTGTTGATTGTCACTTGTTCTCTTGTAAGTACAAATCTGTTGTTCGTCTACTCCAACTGCATATATGCAACAGTTGATTGCAAGGAAAGATTACTGAAGTTGCCCTCAAACCCAGCAGCAAGATATAGTTCTTTTATGGTTTGTTGCAGTGTATGAATCCCAGTGAATTAGTGAACCAGCTCTATACTTACTAGCAACCAAAAGCTCCCCTTAGGGAAGAAGACCAGTAATTCTTCTGTTCCTAGGAAAACACAGTGAGTTAATATGTTTATAAGATAAAAGTACACTATAAGAAACTCAACCCCATCTACGCTAAAATATTTTTCTTAAACTAGGCTTTCAACTAAGTAAGTGACATATTCTGCTATCTAAATTCAACTCAGCCCAAAGGTACAGTAGTTTTCTTGAACCATAAAGACAGTTCCATGTACCATGGTAGTGGCATAATTAAGGAGAGTGATGGGAGCAAATATTTCAATTCTTATTTTTACTTTAAACATACATTATGCAAGAGCTAAATCTGATTATTGCAAGTCTTTATTTAGGCTTCAGATGTCATAGAAATTATAAATTATATCTTTATTTACACAACAAGGACAAAATCAACTCTGTAGACCCACGGATGGCTTAGATTCGGCTTGGATTTAAACAGGATTTCATTGATTGATTAAGTGGAGATTAACTGTTACGTTGACGTCATACTCCCGGAAATTTTAGATCAAGGCTAAATGATGGAGTGTACGAAGTGAGGCCATTGTTGAGCGAGGCGGCATGTCAGTAAATTTGATTGAAAGTTCGATGTATACGGCCTTGATATTATGTTTAGTTGTGGTTAAAATGAGAGTTTGGATGTCGGTATTATACGCTCTTTTGTCACTTGCATTTACAGAAAAATTATGGAAATTGATAAACATCGCAGCTAACATCACCCTACTTTGAATTGTAGCCCCATTGGATCACTGTTTCCTATCTGTCTGCTTCGGAAGTTACGTAGGCCTACCAGTTACAGTAGTACGCGCAGCTAACAAGAAGTTGGCTATAATTATACCTCGTTGATTTGGCCCATTCCTTTCAAACTTTCGCTTCTTATCTATATATTAAAAGTCTTATTTTTAATTTGTAGTAAAAATAAATGTGATACGAATTGAATTGCAACTCCGTCTCAAACCGAATATGCTAACGGTACCACAGCCATTGAAAACGTTACTGTATAATCAAGATTATGCAGGTGGAGTTAACGCCTGTCAATCAAACGATCGGCCATTCTCGGAGACGGTGAAGAGCGAGTGGACTCCTATTTTTAGTCAAAAATTACAATGGTGATAATAAATTAATTTGACTGAAATTTTGAATATATTCTTCTTTCATCATCTGTTATAGCAAGAATGGCCAACTCTCTATTACAATCTCCCATAATGTATCTTTAAGCTACCCTATTTTAACAATGTACATGTTTCAGTACATCTTTGTGGAAAGTTATGTTTCTAATATTTCCAATATTATTTAAAGAAGAGACTTCTCTTTCAAGATGGAACATTTTTAACATAGACTAGTATAATTAGTTTCAAGTAGTCAGTCCCTTCATATTATTTACTTCAAATATCATACAACTAAAATTGTAAGCA